GACTGAAACCCCAGGTCCCAAGTCAGCCAGCCACAACAGTGTGAATTCCTCAGGGAGGTGCCAGTCTCATCCTCTTGTATCTCCCACGCTCCTCAGGAGATGTAAGAAAAGGTTTTTCTCCCTGAGCCTGCCCTTCCTAATTCCATTCCATCACACCACAAAACCCAATGCTTTGGTCAAAAGAATGAAGGCAGCGGTGCACCATCATGATGGAAGCTCCTCCCTTTTTATATGTGCTTTCTTCATCTGCCTCCCTGAAGATGCTCCTGCCTGGTTCCTGATTTGGGTAAAGATTGTGCAGCTGTTCAGATGGAGATGGAATGGCACCCAATATATCATGGGAGTACTTTTGCTTTATAACACCTGCTTCCCATCTGTTTCTCTAAAGGAGAAATCCCAAAATGAACAATAATAAACAGGCATGCTTCAAAAGGAGGAAGGATGGAGCTCAAAAAGTAAAACAAAACAAATAATCCATACTTACAGGATATAGTTTTTGCCTAACTTTCACCCACTATATACTGTATCCCTCCCTACTCCACTGCTTACCAATTTGTTCTTGACTGAAATTATTTTGGTTTTTAAACTCTAGTTATGAAATTGAATTGGCCCTGGCAGCCCAGATCAGTCTTGCCAGAATCTTCTTCATAGCAACATCGTGAAAATTTCAGAAGTTTAAAATGCAATCTGTCTGGTTGTCTGTCTTCTCTTTAAGAGAAAAGCCCTGAATTCATTTTTCGTAACTTGGCAGGCAAATGATCCTCCAGCCTTGCCCCCAGGGTATGCAAGAGCTGAGGTCTCTGTTGGAGTTCGAGGTTCCCAGTGGACCGAGCCAGGAGCTCTGATTTGGTTTTGAAGGCTGCCAACTTCAGCGTTTCACCTCCCTCCTCCATGTTGCAGACAGAACTGATCTGCTGGATCTTCAAGAGGTCACCGGTGCTGCAGGCTTTCTCAACACTGGTGGAACAAAGGCTTGGAATGCCTCTCTGGAGATCTCCCTTCCCAGTACAAATCTTCTGAAGTTTGCTGGGAAGATGGCTGCTTTTCTCTTCAAAAAATTCGAGACAGTCAAGAGAGGAGATCTTTTCCCGTCGACTCCTATGGCTCCCAGTTGGGGTGTTCAGAGGCGAGGGGAGAGCCAAATTCTGTTCCTGCTCCTTCACACTGTAGGGAGGAGTTGGAACTTCAAACGTGCCATGAAACTGAGAATAATCCACACGGAAAAAGCCATCTTCCAGCGACATCACAGGGAGGAACCTGTGGCCCCAGAGGACTTCATCTTCTGTATAGGAGGTCCTGGCTTGGCATGTCATTCCTAAGAGAAGAAGTTAGTAAAGGGATCAAAAATTGGATTTGTGAATTACAATGCCATCCAGCCTGGCCCTTCAAAGGATCTTCTTTATCCCCCAGCTCTGCTTTGCAAGGGAAGCAGTGGTGGTAGACACCTTTGGAGGGTCCACCTAAGGTGGAAGGAGCAGGAAATGCAAGCCAAGTAGGCTTTACCTGGGTTCATTTATTTATTTATCATATTTATATGCCACCCATCTCACAAAACGTGACTCTGGGCAGCGTACAATAACACCATAAAAAACAGTAATGACAAAAATCACTCTATAATTAAAACACTAATATTATTATTATAAAAAACTAAAGGGATAGAGGAGAGCATTAAGTGTTACATGCAATGTAGCCACCTCATTACATCTCCATATTTAATATATGGACTTCCTTCCATATTCTGTGCTGAGTGGACATGGTAACACAGCTTGGGCAAGAGGTCTTCCACTGCTCTTCAGGCCCCAGTAAATGCCTACCTGGCCACTTTCTGGAGCCAGCTCAGTCCATCACTTCCCAGATATCAACCCCTGCATTTTCCTTTAAAATGGGTGAGAAACTCGTGGCTCTCTACACACTGCTAACCTGCATCTGTTTTCTTTTCTGCAATTTGTGTAGAGTTCTGAAGCCATTAGTCCCCTTTCCAGAGGTGCTGAATATCTACTGCTTTCCTGTCTGTCCTTCCCTCCCTAACTCCAACAAAACTGCCATTCAGTCAAGAGACAGACACATTGAGTTGGGCCATTGCATGTATTAGCTTGGGTACCACATACCCATTAACATAATCCCCCCCCCCAAAAATAGCAAGTTTGTGATTTCCTACATCTGCACAGAGAACTGACCTACCAGTATGTGTGGCATGTTCAAACATTCTTTTTTTCCTCCCCTCTGACATTACAGGAGATAACATGAACATGTTGTTCTAGTGCCAAGGAAGTCACATCTAGAAAGGTAAGATGGGTGCTGCAGTTTGCTTTGGCTACAAATAATGTGAAGTCTTGGCAAATTATTTTTTAAGACTATTTGGGTTCTTGGGAAGAGGAAGACCCATTGCTTTTGTTATAAGAACTCCTCCTTGGTTTTGTTTTTTCCTTCTGCTCCTCTGCTTAGACCTGACATAGCCTGTTTAGCTGGACATGACTTGTACAACCTACAACCTACAATCCCCAAAAGCCTTGAGCAAGGGACCCTGCCAAACTGTTGCTAAATTGTACTGATTTAACCTGAAACTGGGTGGACAACCATGGGTTTGATTGTCCATTCCAAAGGCAATCACGCAGAAAACAAACACATTAATTTGCCTTTGTTACTATATTTTTGCTAAGATGTCCTTTCTGCCTGAAAGACATATTTTCTGGAAAAAGGACAGCAAGTTTTAATGCGACCGAAGGGGGAAATCATTAAATAAATTACTGAAGAACATATGCAAATTGCATCTAATTAAGGAAGTTGAAATGAAATGAAATGAAATGAAATGAAATGAAATGAAATGTAGCTTTTTGTCTGAGCACCAGACATGATTTTCTAGTGTGGAGGCCCAGACATACAACTGTTGTCGCCTGCAGCCCGGAAAATGTTGCATGCTACTAATCTACTGATCCTGGTGGTTTTGTTGCATTGTCCCACCCCCTCTCTCATTAGGTGGATTGTTGCAGGGTTTCGTTTGGTTTTATACAGCCTCTCCATTGCCTGCCCTGGAGTTTGGCTCCATGGTGTCACCTTGTGCAATCATAATCTGGCCAGTAGATGGGTTTGGTTTGGATGGAACTGGGGAAGACCTTCATCTTTTCCCCATTATACTCTCTTCTAGCATTTGAACAAAATCATTACATTTCATGACATTAGCACTGGAATTCTTTTTTCTAAAAGAGAAGTAGCTATTAATACGTCTCAGGCAGTTCTAATTCACAGCTTAACAAGGAATAATGAAGGCAGATGTTAGGAATATAGTATTCTGTGATCCAGCGAGAGCAGTTTGGGTGTCTGTTCATATAATGTACAATTTGTGTGTATAACTGCACATTTGGCAACTGAGGGCATCCTACATAAATTGATACAAATCCCAACTGGATCCCAGCGTGGAGGATTGTACTAGATTACAACAGTGTGCAAACAGCTTCTAATTCTTCCACAGTTCTCTTTGGATGGGAATGAGAAAAGCTTTGTTAGCTCTAGTCGTGCAATGCCCAACAGCCTTTACTGCTAGAGTATCTCCTGAGCTTCGTGCATTCCAAGTTTAAAATAACTAAATTAATAATAATTATACACAAGGGCCATCCAGATTCTCAGCTAAGAAAAGTTGAACCTGGCAATCTGTACAAATTATGCAAATTAAACATTTTAGCATCTTCTCTTATTTTGCATAATGTACAGCAGTCCTATTTTTCATCACAGGTTCTTTTATTTTTACACATTTATAATTTTTTTTACACAATTATTGCATAATTTGTTCTATTCTGTCAATTGTGAGGAAAAGAAGAAGCAAAGGACTATGCTGAGTAAGGAAACACATCCTGCACAGCTGGAGAGTTTATTAGGCTCCTTCTTCTGCTTTTGAGATCACCACACATTTTCAAGTGGATCTCCACAGTCTTAAGGACTAGAAACCTGTGTTACAAATAATGAAAATGTGCTGAATGCTCAGGTGGCTAGATTCTGAGCTTCACTCTCTGTTCTGTATTCCTTCCCAAATCATAGCATGTGCAAACCTTGAGTCCTCTCCAAGCATCATTTGTGGCAAACCCTCAACAAACCTCTGCAAAAGAATAATCATGAAGATAATCCAGAGGAAGATAGTTATTAATTATTGTATCCCACCATTATTTTGTACAGTTCAAGGCAGTGTACATAATGCTCCTGCCTCCTATTTTCCCCACAACAACTCTGTGAAGTGGTGTCAGCCTTGTAAGGTAGTTCATACAGGAAACACGCCCAGATGAGTTAATTCTACTTTATTGTAAGTTTACATTATCAGAATTTTGCAAGTCTGAAAGTGCATTTCTCTCCCGTTGCCTTTACAGTTCAAGAAACTAGAGAAGGTCCCTTCTGGGACATTTGCCAGGCCCCCATTCCTTCTGCGGGCTCAGCTGCCTCTTATCCGACCATTCCCCTGGATGCAGCTCTTCCCCGTTTCCCAAGGTCATTCCCACATACTAATGTAGGTGGGTTGGCTGAGGGAAAACGACTGGCCCAAAGTCACCCAGCCACCTTTCATGCTGTAATGGCATGTGGGAATGACCTTGGAAGACAGGGGAAAGAGTTGCAGACTAGACAACAGTCAGACAAATGGCAGCTGAGTTCACAGAAGGAATGGGAGCAAGGCAAATGTCTCAGAAGGGACCTTCCCTAGTTTCTTGAACTGCAAAGGTGAAGGAGGAAAGATGTACTTTCAGACTTGCATGTCAGCCTCGCGAGGTAGTCCAGACAAGAAGCACACCCAGAAATAGTAACTCTAACTTTAAGGTTACATTAACAGGATCTCTTAAGTCTGAAAGAACATCTTCACCCCCTCACCTTTACAGTCCAAGAAACTAGGGAGGGTCCTTTCTAAGACATTTGCCAGGCCCCCATTCCTTCTGCAGGCTCAGTTGCCTCTTATCTGACCATTGCCTAGTGTGTGGCTCTTCTACCTGTCTCCTAAGGTCATTCCCACATACCATTATGCAGGCCTAAAGGAGCTCCAGAACCCTAGAACCCACAGCCTCCTGGCTTCTAGTCCAGCACCTTAACCCCTACACCAAACTGGCTCTCAGTCCCATTGCAGTTCAGCCTTCCCCAACCTGTCATTCCCAAGATGTGCTAGGACTGCAAAGCCCAGAATTCCCAGAGTGTATACACCCTGGCTAAGAATTCTGGGGGGTGCCACACTGAGAAAAGTGGCTTTAGTTGTATTTCAGTGGAGCTAAAACATGACTAATCCCCTAACCCACAGAAAGGTCAGGAGAACAGCATATGGCAATCTAGGGGTGGGGAGGGCAGAGAATTGTACAAGTGCTGTGTTTGTGCCGTTCATCCATCCGTTCCGCTTCCTGCAAAGGTAAGAAACCACCTGTTGCTCCATCTGCTGCTGATCAGTCTCCCAGCAGTTGTTGACTTAGTTCAATTTGTTTAGGTATGTTTCATTAGTCCTGTTAGAGAGCTTTATGTGCCTAGGAGGTGCTGAAGGTAAAGTACACAAATGGATAGAGAATGTATATTCAGAGAAGAGATTGAGAAACCCTTTTAATCTCCTGGGATAATGAAACCTTTTATCTCAGGGTTTTGCTCCAAGCAGAGTTTGGCCCCAATGCCTGTTCTCAGTTGGCGTTTGAGAGCAACAGCTCCCAGGGGTTTCTGCCACGCCTTGACTGGAAACAGGACTAGAACCACATCGATAACCTCACAAGAAAATCCAAGAACTGAGAATAAGTCATATTTACTGAAGAAAGTAGGAAGCCATTACCAAAACAATTGTAGCAACTATAGTTACTGAAGAATTTGCCCCTTTTTCTAAAAAGAGGTTCCTATGATTAGTTTTTCATTCCACCCTGGCTTTTATTTATTTATTTATACGTCACATTTATATAGCCTCCCATCTCATAAAGCGACTAATGGTCTACTTGGCTTCATCTTCTGAGTGGGTTGGCTTGTTTCTATCTGGCCTTTGTTTCTGCAATGCTCCAATTTGTTCTTGTTTTTTGCTGACCGTATGAGAAGTTTCACACTTTCAGAACAACAACTCCAAGGGCCACAAAAGCCCCATGTTCATGATGGATGCTGGAGATTGTTGTTCAGCAACATCCAGCTAGCCATAACTTCCCATCCTTGCACTGCATTTCCTTCTGACAACTCCTAGAATTCCTTGCTGCTGGCCATGTTGAAAGGGGTTGATGGGAATTGGTTCAAAACATCTGGAGGACAATGTTTGCCTCCCCAGAATTTAGGGCAAAATGGTCTTTCAGTCAGAGTTAAGCCTACAGTGTCTAGCTTCTCTCTTTTTAGGGATGTGTAAAAATATCTGAAAACTTTTCTGGCCTAAAGGCCATAATAAAGATTTGTTGTTGAAAATCTCAGAACATTCAAAATACACTTATATTTTATTATTCTTTTATATTAAATATTTAAGATATTTCCATCATGAGAATTGCTGAATGGGAATTTATGTACAACTCTAAGTCACACAACCATTGACTGTGTTTCTGTAGACTGGGGGAAAAATTACAAGTGTGGCAGGAAAACTGTGATTTTGTTTGAATTTGTCCTGTTTCCTTGATAGATTCACTACTCCCAAAGAAGAGTGTGGTATACCAGCATGCTATACTTAAAGCAAAATTCAAAACCATACTTGGCCAGGAGTGTCCTTAGGCCTCTTGCAACTGGTCTACATTATAGGGCTGTTATGAAGGCAGCATGTATCTATGTGAGTGTGTGAGAAAAGAAAGCATGTGACGCTGTCTTGGTTTAATGAAAAAAAGACTAAACATGTAATGAATAAGGCTACCGGGGTTTTTTTTCTAGCTGCAAATCAGGTACTTCCAATAAGAGAATTCCTAGGGCTTCTATCAAAGTTTAAAAAGAAAAAGGTAAGATCTCCTTTGAGTCATTCAGTTCTTAATGACTGCATCCATCTAGTTTTCTTGGAATTAATTTGGAATATGTCTGCCACAGCCTTCTTTTAGGATGTTATGTTGACTTCCTAATTTAAGCTATGACCTTGGTATTTTCTGGTGGTTTAGACCAATGTTTTTCAACATTAGCAACTTTAAGAGGTATGGACTTCAACTCCCAGAATTCCCCAGATGGCATGCTGGCTAGGGAATTCTGGGAGTTGAAGTCCACACCTCTGAAAGTTGCTGAGGTTGACAAAACACTGCTCTCGCCTAACCAGGATCCATTTAGCTTCCAAACTGAGGTTCAGTCAAAAGGTATAGAGCAGTTATTCTATCTTGCCCTCCTCCAAAGGACAAAGTTCAGTAAGAAAGGATTGGAAAACAAAAATGATTGTAATCATGAGAAGGTTGCAATTGGAAGATGATAAGGGCTGAACCCAGCATAAAATCCTTGGAATGCTAAAACGCTCATCAAGAAGCACTAGCAGCCCACAGCACCTTTCCCCAACCTGATTCCCTCCAGATGGGCTGATACTACAGTTCTAGCGACCTCCTTTCTAGGCAGCTGACCAAAAGTTCTGGGTTCCAGGAATTGCAGGAGTTGTAGATCTTCAACCGATCTGGGGGGCACCAGGTCGGGGAAGGCTCTCACTAAGTCATCAACTGCCAGGAACAACTTCTCAAAGGAGACATCTTGTCCTCAGACAAGGACAGAAATACGCAATAATACAGAAGGCAACCTTGTCCCAGCAGTTTTGCTGTCAATACAGTTTCACTGGACCTAATAAAAAAACGGGAATGTACAGAAATCAGCAAAAGAGCCTTCCGTGTCTTGGAATAGACCATCCTCTCATCTGAGAGGTACTTTATCTTTTAACAGGAGCAATTCCAAAGAGCAATCATTACTGCATAGATTCTGCAGAATTTGAAAGCAGGTGCTGGGGCCAAGCTGGCAGCTGACATCTGGGGAGAGCTGGCCCATATTAAGCCCTGGAATAATTTACAACCCAGTGGGAGGGAGTTTCTGTCCCCTCTTATCTTCAAAGGCACGAGGTTCCTTCTATTTCAGCAATGGTAAATATGCGAGAACTTTAAAAACATCTACACATCTCTAATGCTGCTTCATTAAATAGGGGCCACTGAATCAGAATGACCTCGGTACAGATCATGTCATTAACCTTGCTGTAACAGCTGCATTTGCTAGGCCTGGCTAGGAAACAGCTCAGCCTCGGGGCTCAGCCCGAAAGAACACAGGTTCTGCACTATTCCTGGGGGTTGAGTTCAGGCTGGGGGTGGGGCATCCGCGGGTGTCATCTGTCATAATGCATGTAAAAGGAGGGTTGGGGGTTTGATTGCGTCACCATGGCCACCATCTTGACTTTTTTATTCCACTTGCTCTCCACAGATGACTCAGTTGCCTACTCCACTCGTCTTTTTTTTTTTATTGTCAAGGAGAG